GTAACTGAATGGGTCCTTTTCATCTCTGGTAGAGTGATGAGTATAATATATAGTTGATGGGTTTCAAGATAACAATGCTAATAACTTGCTTGAAAATATGTGAAACTATCTGAGCTCTACTCAAATCCCAAGTTTGCGTACGCTTCAAGGAGGTTTATGATCTTACTCATTTGGTATAGGTTTAGGATTCTGAATCCTGATAGATGATAAAAGTTTGTTTCTTTGGTAGAGATTAGTGTTATTTCTTGATAACCATTTCACTGAAAATTTGAGTTTGCTTATTTCAGGCAATGGCGCAAGTGGGAGGTATAGTAATGCTGCAGCCGGAAGTAGGAGGCTCTCAAGATAACTTCTTCTTTGCCGGTATTGACAAAGTGAGATTCCGCAAACCAGTGATTGCAGGAGACACGCTGGTCATGAGAATGACTCTTCTCAAGTTCCAGAAACGGTTCGGGCTTGCTAAGATGGAAGGTAAAGCTTATGTTGGTGGCGCTTTGGTATGTGAAGGTGAGTTCATGATGGTTTCTGCTGGTAGTTCTTGATCTCACCCATTAATGGTCTCACTTGCCATATGTTTGATTCTCCTAATGCTTCTTCTGTTATTCGAAAATCTAGACAAGACCAAGCTTTATGTTTTCGACATTTATATGAGCTTCTCCGAGATTTTTGTGCCCTTTGTCTTTATTGCTGTCTTCATGAGATATAAATACAGAAATTGTGATTTTGAAAATCCATATTCATAGATCATAAATTTGGTTATATTACAAGGAGACAAGCATAGTTACTCTTAATTCTTTAACACAATTGATCCAAAAGCTTAGCTAATCTTCTCACCAAATAAACCGACCAGATCAATATCACATAAATTAAACCTAAGCTTCTCCATATTATCTCTCTCCCACACACATTCATATAATAAATATACAAAATGATATATATAAAGGAAACAATGGAGCAGTCTTCTTCACATCCTAAGGTCTTAGGTACCTTTACTTCTGCTTCCTCACCCTCACCCTTCACTTGTACTCCATGATCATGTTGTTCTCTGGCGCAAGCCCAACGCAGGCCCTAAGAATGTTCTCCAGCATTGCTCGCTGCTTCGACAGAGCGTTAACCACCGGTGTTCCAGGCGGTACAAGAGGTGCCTTTGTGAGGTAACTGAGGATGGTAGCTACCGGGTGGAAAGAGTGAAACTTCCCCTGAAATAGAAAAGATTCAAACATGAAAAAACACTCAGTTTAAAGCGAATCCCGTGTTTCTTGGTTACTAATACTAACTAACGGAATACAAACCTCTCCTTCGGCTTTGAATTGGATTCTGGTGCTGAGTTCAGCGAGAAGAACAAGATCCAAAATAATTGGAGCAGCCAAGAGAGAGTCCTCACAAGTGTTATGCATCACAATTGTGTTCCTTCCTCCCATGAATATCTCAGACGTGTACTCGTCCATTGCTCTTTTACTATCCGCAACATATGGTACATACTGCGAAACAGAACAATAGCAGGATTTAAGACTTTAAAATGTACTTAAAATGAAAGGAGGAATTGATGACTCCGGCCTCTGATTCAAAATCAAACCTTGATGACAACGACATGGTCAGGGTGTTCACCGGGCTCAAAGAGGATGCCATTACTAGCTACCATGTCGTCTACAACATTACTCTTTGAAATCTCCTTAGAGCGGAAAGTCTGCGGCGCTGAGAGGTTCATGCCGTCGTTATTTCCCAAATGATTATAGCTCACAATCGAAGTAGGCTGCCACAAAACCATTCTTAGTTTCTTTCACTAATAAAAAAATAGCCAAGTTAGGTCACTTGATAAACAAGCTTTACCTTGATGCCAGCTCCAACAAGAAAATCAACCAAAACAGATTTCATCTTAGTCTGCCCACTCTTGAAATCATCTCCACCGATCAAACAATTCTTCGATATAGCCAACTCGATAAGACCGGGAACAAAAGTATTCTGAGGACTCCCATTGATGAAAGGGATACCTTCAAGAACACAAGCAATAGCATACAAAGTAGAAGGCGAGATCTCAGACTCGTCCTTTTCAACAGACGCCAATAGATTCTCCATCGTATCATTAAGCCCTACAATCACATTGCTATAACGCTCTGTATTTGCAGTCCATAACACAACCAACTTATCCACTTTGTTCTTCTCCTTAAACTCCCTAAAAATATTCCAACACATCAATACACTAACTAACTAACTAACAATTCTGTTATGTAAGGTCATATATTATACCTCATGTCTTTGATGATGTGATCAACTTGTTCCTTCTTTGTACCTTTGATCACACTATTAGCACGTGACCCTTGATTCGCAGCGATGAAATCAGGGTCATAGATACCAGGAAGTGGGATCATGTTCTCCATGTAAGGTCTAAGTTGTTTCTGCAAATCAATGTCAAGAACTCTAGCTCTAGCCATAGCATCAGCTAAGTTCATGTCACTTATATCCCAACCACCAAACACAACATCATCAGGATTCACCATTGGAAGAAGACTCTTGAAAGGAGCGTAAATCTCTTCACCATTGTAAGAACCAACACGAATCGAAGAAGCTTGAGTTAGTGAACCAAAGTAATTAGCTTGTTGCACTTTGTCTTTAGTCGCCCACGAGATTCCTCTACAACAAAATTAATGTCAAAAAACCAAAATCAAAGATTCCATAAAAAAAAGTGTTTGTTTGTTACTCACTCTTTGTTAGCAATGACACCAGCGGTTAGTGTTGATCCATTGTTTCCTCCCCAACCAACAAGCATAACCCTATACAAAATGTGAATTTTAAGACCGACCCATATGAATTCGAGCGAAGAAATCAAAGAAAACAAGTGAAAGATTCAAACTTTATGGATTTTTTATTTACCCTAATTTGGGGACACGAGTGTCTGTTTTGAAATCGTATTTGACAGTCTTTGGCTTCACAATCCATTGATATGTACCGTTACGATTCTCATGGACGACTTCTGTTGTTTCGTAATTGTACACCGAATTGATCTCATTCTCTGTGTATTTGACATTTGGGCTCTCTACTTTAAAGCTCTCGATGAACATTTTCTCTGTGTATATAAGAAATGTTTGTTGCTTGAAGCTCTGTGTTTGGTGGTTGTGTGATCTCGAATGGACGAAAAAGAGCGATGATATATAGACGAGAAACAGAGGAGGGAGGACACGTGGCGGGTTTTCGGAGTTATCGATGGAATTTCACACACAGCGAATGGAGATGGTTCGAGCCCAGTCTAAAGCCCAGAGAGGACGAGAGCCACTAAGCCACACGTGTTTGGTTCACACGTGTGAGGTGGTGAATTCGAGAATGTGAGAGACACGTTGGAAGTTGGGTCCCATACACGTGGCGTGATTAACGTGAAGACAAGTTTCTTTTCTAAATCTGTGAAGACATACTCTCGAAGACCCCCGAGGATGAGCAAGAAGAAGAAGAAGAAGCGGTTGTTGTCGTGGGACACTGCAGTTCAAACGACATCGTTGTCGCAACTAAGAAACGTGTGGATGCCACGCGCGATTTGTTGTTTGGATTTGGGTATTGTTGGATGACACGTGGCGAAGATGTGCTGTCATGTTTGGTGATGGCGCGTGAGTGGGTTTAACGGTAAAGTAGCGACCATTTCTTGAACTGGGGCCAAGTAGGTCCTCCAATGATAAATTATCGGCTACTTTATTATACTGGAGATGGTAAAATATTTGGCCACCAATTTTAAACTTGGTTTCGATAAATCTAGAGATGCATGTAAATAAAGAAAAGAGAATACAACTCTAGTCTATCTAGTACGTCTATGTTTCAACTCTAGTCTATCTAGTACGTCTACGTTTCGACGTTTTTGTTTGTTAAACCAAGAAGTTTAAGACCAAATTAGTGATCTATAAATATCATTGGACGACCATGGATCATATAAACGGTTGGACTAAACGAAAAGTTGAACTAAGAATCCAAGATTCAACTTCTTTTAAAAAGACTGAAATCTGATACGTACTACACCACCACTTGCTTGTTTATATGTTTAAATTTTTATGGTGAAACATTGTCCTAGCGATATCATTAATCACGCGGGTTAGAAACGTCGTTGTCAAAGAGTCGTGAATAATTGTGGACCTTGTGAGTGAGTGACTGTAGATGACAAAAATAAGGCAGCAGCCAAAGCAGTGACCACAAACCAAAAGCGTACGTGATGAATTGTGGTTAAAGCAAAAGCCAAAACGTGGGAAGTGGGGTTATTACTTAATTTGTGTAAACATGCATGAGTGGTATATATATTAGAAATGACGAAACAAATTCTAAATTTTGTAGTTGATGAATGTTTTCATGTCTGAGTTCATACTATCACGGATCTGCATGCATGTCAATTTATGATGTAGTATAAAGAAAATAATTACTTTTGATAAAGCAGTGACCATACGTACGTTTTGATAACAAATCAATAATTTCAACCTACATTTTTTTTTTCTCCCTATTCATGGCCTCTTAGCCGTATCCATTTCAAGCCACACAACTAGCTTTAATTTGTCCTCGTTTCATTTTATGTGTTTGCCTATTTACTTGCTTTCACTGTTTACTTTATGAATATGATCATCTCTGATTGAATAATTTGAGAAGTTTCTAGGGTCAATTAGTATTTTTGGTCGTGATTTAACATCAATTATGTCTGGACACACATTATTATTTTTAATTACTTCATATTTCACATACTTAAAATTTGATTCAAGAAAACGATTTCTTGGACTACAAATATTTACAATAAATGAATGTGATCATGGTGGATGACAGAATCCGGTATGATGATTTTTAATAATCGTCAAATATATTATAAAGAATTATGTTTAAAGTTTATAATTTATAGATCAAAAGCTAATGATTTTAGATAAAATGAAAGGGTAAAATATGTTCTTTTGTCGTGATCTTAAATTCTAATACAGGATTTACAATGAAGAGAATGGTTTCTGGTTGGTTGGTTACATGAGCTTGAAGGAAAGAACAAAGTATAAAGAGAGAGCTTTTTATTGGAATGGAGACGAAGCTGATATATAAGTTACAACATATCATAAACATTCAAAAACACATTTCTCCGTCTGAACCGTTACACGGAGACAGTGGCACGGAGTGGCTCAAGGGCTTTCCTGATCTTCTCAACTGCGGCTTGTAGAACGTCGAGAGATGTGGCATAAGATATTCGGATACAACTATCATCTCCAAAAGCATCACCAGGAACCATTGCAACCTTTTAAACAAACAGAGCCAAACATATAAACTTGTTAACAAAAAAAAAAAAAAAATCTTTCTTAAGTCTAAGTTGAAGTGCTTCTTGAGGGTAAAGAAGAACATTTTGTAGACGAAGTTTACCTGAAACTTGTCAAGAAAGTATAATGCAAGAGACGACGAATCATTGATCAAACCAAAACCTTCAGCTTCTGATCCATAGTAAGCACTGAAGTCAATAAACAGATAAAAAGCTCCCTACAAGTAAACAATGCCAACAGTCAAGAAAAAGAAACTAGCCAGTAATAGCTTCGAAGATATAAGGAGAAGTACCTGAGGTTCAGAGATCTTAACACCTTCGATTTCACCTAAGCTTTTAACCAAGAAATCTCGTCGTTCTCTATATGCTTTAACCATCTCTGCAACTGTTTCTCCTCCAGCTTTTCCTAACTCAAGTGCAGCAACACCTGCTTTTTGAGCAATGCTACTAGCTCCTGAACTAACCTTTAAACAAAAACCAGAACCGATTTCATCTCATGATCGCTGCTTTTTTTGATAAAGATTTAGAGAGAAATATGTTTTTATGTAGATACCTGGCCTTGTAATTTACTGCAAGCTGCAACTATATGCTTAGGACCAGCAAGATATCCAAGCCTCCAACCCGTCATTGCGAAAGCCTTTACATATCATACGATCAGCAAAGAATTTATTCGGTTGACATTAGAAGCAACTCAGTGATAAATACTTTTACCTTTGAGAAACCGTTTACTGTCAAAGTTCTTTCATACATGTCAGGCAAAGAAGCAAAACTTGTGTGTGTTGCCGGTGCATAAATAATGTGTTCATATATTTCATCCGAAAGCACCTATAAAAGAAATGAAAGAAACAGAGTTTTTTTCAGCTTAAACAGTTCAGCAAAAACAAACAAACTGAAAAAGACCAAAGAGCGTTTTATTGATATATACCAGAAGTCTTGGATGCTTAGCAATGATCCGTGCAATCTCTTCAAGCAAACTCTTGGGGTAAACAGATCCAGTAGGGTTGGAAGGAGAGCAGAGAATTAAAAGTCTAGATTTTTCAGTCAATTTAGACTCAAGATCCTTTGGATCCAACAAGAAATTATTAGAAATCTTGGTAGGAATAACCACGGGTGTTGCATCAGCCAATCTCGCCTGTTCTGTGTAACTCACCCAATATGGTGCAGGAATTATAACCTGGTAAAGGAAATACAATTCATTGTTATAAACAAAATCATATCGAAAGAAGAAAAAAAAAGATCGAAAGAAAAGATTGGTTTTAATTACTTCATCTCCAGGAGAACAAACTGCGAGCACTGCTTGTAAGAGACTTTGTTTAGCTCCATTACTAACCAAGATCTGATCCGGAGCATAAGACAATCCGTTCTCCTCTGAAAAAACCCGAATACAAACAATTTGAACTCCGTTTCGCCATAACTGATTTACAAAGTAAAGGTGTTTCTTTATACCTTTTAACTTGTGACATATCGCTTCTCTGAGTTCCGTAATACCTGCATTTAACGTATACCTAGTGAAACCTTGTCGAATCGCATTGATCCCGGCCTATACGAAAAAATTGATTCAGAACAAACCACAGAGAGAAGGGAAACAGAACAGAACATGAACCACTAGGAGAAAGGTATTAACCTCAGCTACGACTTTGGGAGTATCGAAATCGGGTTCTCCTGCAGCTAGTCTGATAACCGGAACACCGGATTGCACAAGAGTAGCTGCAAGATCGGTTATAACCATAGTCTTGGAAGGTTTTAAGGATTGAACTCGCGGGCTAAGTGACATATCTACTGATGATGATGATGAAAGAGTCTCAGCATCATTTGGTTTGGCCATAGCACAGATTCTAGATGACATATTCCCTGACTTACAGTACCTAACCATCACAGATACAAGACCTAAAATCAACTACATTGACCACCTCAATCTAAAGAAACAGTAATCAATCAACTGAAAAAAGTCTAAATTTTGATCAGTGATTCAGATTTCTAATCAAAAGAGTGATCAAAAGTAACGAAACTCACGAGAAGGAGAGACGAAGGGGTTGGAATCGAACTGACCCGATTGGCTTCTTTGAATCTGGGAATGATTCGACTCTACCGGCGGCAGAAGTGGCGGAAATGACGGCGGCGGAGCTCTGAGTCGCCATTGGAGAATGTGGGTTGGTGATAGGAGAGATAAAGATTCGACCTTTGAGGGAATTTGTAAACGAGAGAGGCGGGTGAGAGAAGGTGGGAGGAGTTGGTGAGGGCAGAGTTAAGAAAATGGAATTTAGAAAGAAAAAAAAAAATACTTTTTAGAAAAAATTAGCCACCAACTCTTTATGAATCTGCAACCAGAGTTAGAAAGCTAGTCGCCGGCGGCTGATGATGTCACCGGAAAGATAAAGATACGTCGTTTCATTTTATAGGTCAACAATTTTAAGTGAGTTGTTGGTTGATGTGATGTCCAGGTTTGTTGCTTTATGTATGTCAAAAAGACAAAAACCTTATGTTTTTTTTTTTTGTCATGGAAGTTGCAAAAGAGTTACCAAACCCTAAATACTTTGGATTTTAAAACTTTCCTTATGTTTGAGAAGTTTGATAACTCGGGTTAGTAAAAAAGTCGGGTCTGATTCGGGTCTAAATTATGTTTTGTCGGGTTATCGGTTTATTCATGATTTAAATCAGGTTTAGTACGAGATTTGGCGGAATTCGTTTATCATTAACAGAAAAAGGGTTATAACTCGAAATTCATCTTCTGTAATGTTAGACATTGACAAAGTTCAAATGCGTAGTTCAAATGTGTAATTACAAATCGAGTCTCAACTTTGATTGGGCTAAGACAAGAAACTAAATTTTGCATGGGACTCCAAAAGCGACTTATAATCATATGATCATATCCATTTCCCTTCCTGTTACGCCTAATACATATCGAGTCTAAACCCTGCTTTGTCTTTGTAATTGATAAGTGCAGTTTCTTTATCAAACTCACAAAGTAGTTTATATTTACACATATCTCTAATTACACAATCTTGACTACAGATTGACTTGTTGTAGTGACCTCACCATAGATGGCCTTAACCGTAGACAGACGAACAACCGCGGAATTACCACTGCAAGCAGCAGCTTCAACATAGAGTAGTTGTTTCCACTCCCACATTGTGACTTTCATTGCCTTATTAAACTTGAAGAGCGAATCCTTTTGCTCTGCTAAGGCCTCAGACATATTTTGCTTAATACCGTCATCTAAAAAATTGAACCGTTTAAAACCGGGTTAAACCGAAAACAATTGAAATTGATCCTGGTTCGCCAAAGAGGACCATAGTTTAAACAAAGGGTTCGAACCGGATTATAAATTTGATTCGGTTTTGTAGTTTCAGCATTTCCGGTTTAGTTCGATTTAAAATTATTCGGTTACCGTTTTTGTTTAGAATCACAGAATTAGAGAGTTATGGAGGAGAGAAGAAACATGAATTCCACCGCCGCTAATCGCTCTAACCAGGTTTATTTTCCGGCCATTACTCACCGTCGATTTTGATTATGTTCCGACAAGAGTGTGATTCCGTTCTGATTATCCATTTTCTCAGCCGTCTTCTGTTGGAATCAGCGACGGTCAAATCACCAATGAGGAAGCTGAATCGCTTCATAAGAAGTAACTATTTCATCTTTTTCTTCATGGGAATTGATTTCTATGTTTGTTCATTTAGGGTTTAGTCTGCTTTTGATTGAATGTGGTGGTTTTCTTCATAAAACAATGTTTCATATAGGAAGAAATGTTCTGGGCACGAGCTAAAAGAAGTAACTTGTAGTGACACATTCTCTGACAATGGTTCACTTAACAAGAAAAGACTCCATTATCATCAGGATCAGGTACTTGTCTCATTCATCAATCCAATAGAAAACCTTAAATTTATAGGAAACTTGTGCTTTTAGAGAAGTAGGCCTCCTTTTTGAGTTATGTTGTATGTTTTGCTCTGTAGCGGAGGATGAGTTTGACATCGATTGTGACGGTGGAGACTCCTTCATCTAGCGACGCTCCCACTAGAAGAACCATTGATCTTGGCCATGGAAGTGACCTCATTTACATTCAGAGGTTTCTTCCCTTTCAACAATCTTGGACTTTCTTTGATTATCTCGACAAGCATATTCCTTGGACCAGGCCTACTATTCGTGTCTTCGGTCGATCTTGCCTTCAGGTTTTCCCACTTCCTATTTCTCTCGGTCATTTTTTTTGGTATACATATGATCCATTGAAGCTTTATTGTGTCTCCTCGTGGGTTCAATTGAGTATTGTGAAAAGTAAGGAACAAAGATTGCCGTGGTCATCTCCATGCTTAGATTTCAACTTGTGTCTGAGGAAATTTAAGCCACAATCATGAAGTCCTTTCTAATTTTTGTGTTTGTGGCCTTATATGCATTTTCCATCTGTAGCCGAGAGATACTTGTTATGTTGCGAGTAGTGGATTGACTGCACTGGTGTACAGTGGATATCGACCTAACGCCTATTCGTGGGATGATTTTCCACCTCTTAAGGAGATTCTGGATGCGGTAAGATTGAAACCACAATGATATGTCCCCTGTGTTCTAGTGGTCATTGGAACTAACATTTCTCCTTTGTCTTGTCAGATTTACAAAGCGCTTCCTGGAAGCAGATTCAACAGCTTGCTGTTAAATAGGTACAAAGGTGCCAGTGACTATGTGGCTTGGCATGCAGATGATGAAAAGATTTATGGTCCAACTCCCGAAATTGCTTCAGTTTCGTTTGGATGTGAACGTGATTTTGTGTTGAAGAAAAAGAAACATGAAGAATCTTCCCAAGGTAATGGGACCTTTTAGTCACTGCCACTAATTTAGTGTTTTCCTGCATAACCAGGAACGTGCGAACGTTTGTTTTGGTGTGAACCTGCAGAGAAAACAGTGAACGGTGGACCAACGAAAAAGAGGTTAAAGAGAAGCAGCAGAGAGGATCAACAAAGTTTGACATTGAAGCATGGATCGTTGCTGGTGATGAGAGGATACACTCAAAGGGACTGGATTCATTCTGTGCCAAAGCGGGCAAAGGCAGAAGGCACTCGTATCAACCTCACCTTCAGGCTTGTTTTGTAAACGGAGCATCATAGACAAGAAGGTTTGCTTGATCTTGATCTCCATTGACATTGACTAAGCTTCTCATCTTAATTCTCTATAAACACTGATTGGTGTAGACATTTGAAGAAGCAAATAGGACGGGAAGATTGATAAGGAAGAGTGGCTAAGTCTTTGTTAAAGCGACATGTTGTTTAAGAGAAATGACTTGATCAAAAGCAGCCATACGAAAGACATGGAAGACTCAGACACATGCAGTGAAATGAAAATTAAGACAACAGTAGACACACTCGCTTTTCAAAAGAAGAAAGAAGCATACAAGTTTGGAGGGCATCATGAGGGTGTCAAGAATGTTACTCTGCTTTGTTGTAAAAATCATAAGGAAAAAAAAACGAGTTTTATTTTGTGTCACAATAAGTAGATAAATTCAATAAAAATAATTTTGTGTCGACAAGTTTTAATTTGGAATAATTATCTTTCTTCTTATTTTACTTTCAAACGAGAGAATGTGTGATCATGTTTCCATGAAAAGATGTACTGTTTGTAATTTTTTTTTTATTGGCACATTTTAATTCATTTATCAGATTTTAAATCTCACACAAACCAAAACGTCATTTGTTATCATCTCTCGAGTTTGTTGATTTTAAATTCCTAATCCGAGGATGTGATGCAGAATTGAAGCTAGGAAAGTACTTCCTAGAGAATTCAGCAGTCCTCAAGAAGCTCTCTACATACTTAATATTTTTCAAGAAGAGATGACATGTTCGAGAAATTCCTCAGAATGCCAAGAGGCTCTGCGGCCAAATGTGAAGTCGTACTCCTTGTCTCCTTTGATTGGTAAATATTAGAGGTTTTATGATTTTTGTGTAGAGACAAAACAAATAAGAGTAGTAGTTTTAATGGTTGGTTTGGTTTGTGAAATGAATCAATGATAATGATATTGTCAAATCAAAACCCAATTCACAGCTACGGAACAAAAAAAGAAAAGTAATCTAAAACCGTCCAATTCGATTAAACCACATTTGACCAAATACATTCATTCCAGAAAGAAAAAAAAAACACAAGAAATGGGTTCAGTTTTGTTTGATTTGGACCACTGAAGGGTGTTATTGCTAATTCATGTTTTAAAGAGTAAAGCGAAGAGCATTTCAAGGAGTGAGAAACAGAGCATATGGTACACTAAAGTCTAGTGATGAAGCAAAGTGTTAAGAACAAATCCAGTTTAACTCAAACTACAATCCTATATATAAATAATGTATAATCAGTTATGAAATATTGTGCCATAGTGAATCACATACAAAATATCTAAGCTCAAGAAAATACAAATTCCAATAGAATAATTCAATATTGAAGAATTACACAAGCATACCTAGGACGACAATATTTTTTAAAACATTTTCATCACTGAGAAATCTCAAATAAACAAGGACATAAGGCCATTACAAGTAGACAAACAAGAACACAAAACCATTAAAAGAAGACAAGACAATCAATAGAGCTTGAACATGCATAGATTAGGACCACACAACATATATTTCCAGAGAGTCAGAGAGACAAAACCAAGGAAGTAACTAACAGCGAGATGATGCAAAGGGTAAGGCAAATGAGTAATTGGAATAAAGAATTACGGTGAGATATATATTCATAAATTCTAGTGACAAACCTGACTGATCTTAGACATAAATTTCTCTAAAAATCACACACATAAAAAAAACACACAACTTTATATTTTTCCAGAACAAATCAACTATACAACTACAGCTACACTTAACGAAACACACAAAACATATTATACTCACACTACACAAAACATATTATACTCACACTACACAAAACATCTTATACTCAAACTATTTTGATCTTTATATGAAAGAATTAAGATCCTACCAAAATTGGCAATTTATAGAACAATATTCGAGAGAGAATATGTGTAAATATGACTTGTTTCATTTTTAGCTCTAGTCACTTAAAGACACTGGACTCAGTCCTCCATAGACCTTTGACAAACAAAACTAGACCCAAGACTGTTAGACTAAATGATATGAGCAAAAAAATAGAAACAGAGTCGCAAAACTCAGAAAATGAGTGAAGGCAAACTTTACATGATAACAACATCTAAGATTTCATCCAACTGTGGTTGAATCCAAATAACCAAGGTCAGACCATAACAAGAACAACAAGAAAGCATAAAACTACAAAAGTAATATGAAATTATTCAAAATCAGATTCCAGAATATTTACAAAGCTAAGAGACCTGCTGTGTTATTCAGCTTCAACAGTCACGAGGAAACAAGACAGCCAATTTTTCTAAAACACGTCATCACTGAGAAATCTCAACATACAAGGGCATAAGACCATAACAAGATGACAGGGAATAACCACACAATATATTTCCAGAGAGAAGAGAACCGAGAAAGTAACTAACAAACCAAATAATACAAAGGGTAAGCAAAATGAGTAAGTGGAATGAGGAAGAACAATGCACTCTAATTCCATCTAACAAAATATTCATAAATTATATTACTGCACAAAACTTCTCATGTTTTCAACACAAAAGGGTTGCATCACGACAAACCTGACAGATCTCAGACATAAGCTTCGGATATGAACTAACACAGAAAAACGCATTGTACCAATCATTCTACACAATTCAAAGAAGACCAGATATAGCAAGTACACACAACTATACGATCTTACAGAACAAAATTTAGCTGTGACATAGTTACTTACACGGCTATATTTAAACGAAACACACAAGACCTACATGTAAATGAATGGTTTTCCAAACAAACTTTAATGTCACAAACAAAATAAAAATGCAACTTTTGATCTTTGTATAAAGGAATCAAGATACTAATAAATATTTAAATTGACAATTTATATGAATAATGTTACAGAAAGAATAACATACTAAACATGTAAGGCTTGCCTCCACTCATTTTCTAAGTCTTACGACTCTGTTTCTAATGTTTGTACTCATATAGAAAATGATATCATTCAACTTTGTCTGAATCAAATTAACCAAGCAAGAATAACAACAAGAAAGAATAAAACTACAAAAGTAACATGAAACATATTCAAAATCAGATGCCAAAATATTTATAAAGCTAAGAGAACCAATGTGTTATTCAGCTTCAACAGTAAGAAATCGTCAGTTTTATAGATTCTTTCAAACAATTCATCACCAATCACAATTTTTCTAAAAACACATCATCACTGAGATATCTCAACAAATAAAGGCATAAGACTACAACAAGAAGATATAGAAGGGGCTCTCATAATATATTTACAGAGAGAAAAGAACCGATAAAGTAACTAACAATTAGATGATGCAAAGGGTAAGCTAAATGAGTAACTGGAATATGAAATGATAGTGAGAACAATCCACTCTAGATCCATCTAATAAAATATTCATAAATTATATTGCTGCACAAAATTGCCTCTGTTTTCATAATACAAATGGGTTGCATTGCATCACAACAAACTAGACAGATCTCAGACATAAGGTTCTCGAAGAATCAGATATAAATCAACACATAAAAAACTCATAATCGTAATAATGCTACACAAGTCAAAGAAGACAGTAGCAATCTGCTATAAATGATATAAGCACAAACATTATAAACAAAGTCAAAAGATTCAGAAAATGAGTGAATGCAAACTTTACATGATGATGATCGCAGGAATAATAACATCTAAGATTTCATCAAATTCTGGATGAATCCCAAATAACCAAGGAAAGACCATAACAAGGAAATTTACAAGAAAATAACATAAACATATACCAGAAGATTCACAAAACTACGAGAACTCATGGGTTATTCAGCTTTAATTGTAAAAAATAGTCAATTTCATAGATCATTTATCACAATTTATTACCAATCATAGGAAACAATGTAACAAAGAAACCATAAAATAAGTATATTCAAGTTGAGAGTATCGAGAACCATATATCAGAGAACTTCAAACTGAACCATTGAATTCAAAATAGAAATTAAGATTTATCCAGTGAATTAGTTTTTTTCAAATTCAACTTTAAATGCTTGTAGCAATTCTTCTTCTATCATGAAGAAAGTATGTTAATAAGAAGGATATATACCTACATTCTTTTAGAGACAGAGAGAAAAACTTAAACAAACGCAATATTCTTAAAATGGAAATATGAGAAAGAAGATAAATCCAAAAGTCTTACGAAAGGGTGGGAAAGAATAACCTGAAAATCTTGTGACGATCTTTGAAAACTGGAGAACAACTGCCTGCAAAAAAAGAAAAAATATGTGATGGTAGACAGATCTATGTAAGTTGTATGTTACTTCTTAATAATGTGTACACATCAATGAATTTGTTAAACAACAGCAAAAAAAAGTAAGAAAACATAATATATAGAAGAGATAATCATTTTACCTGAAATTCACATACCTCGAATTTGTATGTAAGCTTGATCATGCATGCTCCATGAATGTCATACTTCTGCATATTAAACATTGTAACAAGTAATTTTGATTACCATACTTCTGCATAGGATCTCTGGGACAATGACATTTAAATTACCTTAACCGAGCCGAGGCATTTGTTTTAATCTCGGAGACTAGGAACCCGAGAACTTGCAGAAATGGGACTATCACGTTTAGGGACGGGGACATTCAAAGAGGTAATTTTGATTACCTTAACCGAGCCGAGGCATTTGTTTTAATCTCGGAGACTAGGAAGCCGAGAACTTACAGAAATGGGACTATCACGTTTAGGGACAGGGACATTCAAAGAGGTAATTTTGATTACCTTAACCGAGCCGAGGCATTTGTTTTCATCTCGGAGACTAGGAACCCGAGAACTTATGGAAATCGGACTATCGCGTTTAGGGACAGGGACATTCAAAGAGGTAATTTGATTACCTTAACCGAGCCGAGGCATTTGTTTTAATCTCGGTGACTAGGAAGCCGAGAACTTTCAGAACTGAGACTATCACGTTTAGGGACAGGGACATTCAAAGAGGTAATTTTAATTACCTTAACCGAGCCGAGGCATTTGTTTTGATCTCGGTGACTAGGAACCCGAGAACTTTCAGAACTGAGACTATCACGTTTAGGGACAGGGACATTCAAAGAGGTAATTTTGATTACCTTAACCGAGCCGAGGCATTTGTTTTAATCTCGGTGACTAGGAACCCGAGAACTTTCAGAAATGGGACTATCACGTTTAGGGACAGGGACATTCAAAGAGGTAATTTTGATTACCTTAACCGAGCCGAGGCATTTGTTTTAATCTCGGTGACTAGGAAGCCGAGAACTTTCAGAACTGGGACTATCACGTTTAGGGACAGGGACATTCAAAGAGGTAATTTTGATTACCTTAACCGAGCCGAGGCATTTGTTTTCATCTCGGAGACTAGGAACCCGAGAACTTATGGAAATCGGACTATCGCGTTTAGGGACAGGGACATTCAAAGAGGTAATTTTGATTACCTTAACCGAGCCGAGGCATTTGTTTTAATCTCGGTGACTAGGAAGCCGAGAACTTTCAGAACTGAGACTATCACGTTTAGGGACAGGGACATTCAAAGAGGTAATTTTAATTACCTTAACCGAGCCGAGGCATTTGTTTTGATCTCGGTGACTAGGAACCCGAGAACTTTCAGAACTGAGACTATCACGTTTAGGGACAGGGACATTCAAAGAGGTAATTTTGATTACCTTAACCGAGCCGAGGCATTTGTTTTAATCTCGGTGACTAGGAACCCGAGAACTTTCAGAAATGGGACTATCACGTTTAGGGACAGGGACATTCAAAGAGGTAATTTTGATTACCTTAACCGAGCCGAGGCATTTGTTTTAATCTCGGTGACTAGGAAGCCGAGAACTTTCAGAACTGGGACTATCACGTTTAGGGACAGGGACATTCAAAGAGGTAATTTTAATTACCTTAACCGAGCCGAGGCATTTGTTTTGATCTCGGTGACTAGGAACCCGAGAACTTACAGAAATGGGACTATCACGTTTAGGGACAGGGACATTCAAAGAGGTAATTTTGATTACCTTAACCGAGCCGAGGCATTTGTTTTCATCTCGGAGACTAGGAACCCGAGAACTTATGGAAATCGGACTATCGCGTTTAGGGACAGGGACATTCAAAGAGGTAATTTTGATTACCTTAACCGAGCCGAGGCATTTGTTTTAATCTCGGTGACTAGGAAGCCGAGAACTTTCAGAACTGAGACTATCACGTTTAGGGACAGGGACATTCAAAGAGGTAATTTTAATTACCTTAACCGAGCCGAGGCATTTGTTTTGATCTCGGTGACTAGGAACCCGAGAACTTTCAGAACTGAGACTATCACGTTTAGGGACAGGGACATTCAAAGAGGTAATTTTGATTACCTTAACCGAGCCGAGGCATTTGTTTTAATCTCGGTGACTAGGAACCCGAGAACTTTCAGAAATGGGACTATCACGTTTAGGGACAGGGACATTCAAAGAGGTAATTTTGATTACCTTAACCGAGCCGAGGCATTTGTTTTAATCTCGGTGACTAGGAAGCCGAGAACTTTCAGAACTGGGACTATCACGTTTAGGGACAGGGACATTCAAAGAGGTAATTTTAATTACCTTAACCGAGCCGAGGCATTTGTTTTGATCTCGGTGACTAGGAACCCGAGAACTTACAGAAATGGGACTATCACGTTTAGGGACAGGGACATTCAAAGAGGTAATTTTGATTACCTTAACCGAGCCGAGGCATTTGTTTTCATCTCGGAGACTAGGAACCCGAGAACTTATGGAAATCGGACTATCGCGTTTAGGGACAGGGACATTCAAAGAGGTAATTTTGATTACCTTAACCGAGCCGAGGCATTTGTTTTAATCTCGGTGACTAGGAAGCCGAGAACTTTCAGAACTGAGACTATCACGTTTAGGGACAGGGACATTCAAAGAGGTAATTTTAATTACCTTAACCGAGCCGAGGCATTTGTTTTGATCTCGGTGACTAGGAACCCGAGAACTTTCAGAACTGAGACTATCACGTTTAGGGACAGGGACATTCAAAGAGGTAATTTTGATTACCTTAACCGAGCCGAGGCATTTGTTTTAATCTCGGTGACTAGGAACCCGAGAACTTTCAGAAATGGGACTATCACGTTTAGGGACAGGGACATTCAAAGAGGTAATTTTGATTACCTTAACCGAGCCGAGGCATTTGTTTTAATCTCGGTGACTAGGAAGCCGAGAACTTTCAGAACTGGGACTATCACGTTTAGGGACAGGGACATTCAAAGAGGTAATTTTAATTACCTTAACCGAGCCGAGGCATTTGCTTTGATCTCGGTGACTAGGAACCCGAGAACTTTCAGAATTGGGACTATCACGTTTAGGGACAGGGACATTCAAAGAGGTAATTTTGATTACCTTAACCGAGCCGAGGCAGTTGTTTTGATCTCGGTGACTAGGAACCCGGGAACTTACAGAAATGGGACTATCACGTTTAGGGACAGGGACATTCAAAGAGGTAATTTTGATTACCTTAACCGAGCCGAGGCATTTGTTTTAATCTCGGAGACTAGGAAGCCGAGAACTTACAGAAATGGGACTATCACGTTTAGGGACAGGGACATTCAAAGAGGTAATTTTGATTACCTTAACCGAGCCGAGGCATTTGTTTTGATCTCGGAGACTAGGAACCCGAGAACTTATGGAAATCGGACTATCGCGTTTAGGGACAGGGACATTCAAAGAGGTAATTGTGATTACCTTAACCGAGCCGAGGCATTTGTTTTAATCTCGGTGACTAGGAACCCAAGAACTTTCAGAACTGAGACTATCACGTTTAGGGACAGGGACATTCAAAGAGGTAATTTTGATTACCTTAACCGAGCCGAGGCATTTGTTTTAATCTCGGAGACTAGGAAGCCGAGAACTTACAGAAATGGGACTATCACGTTTAGGGACAGGGACATTCAAAGAGGTAATTTTGATTACCTTAACCGAGCCGAGGCATTTGTTTTAATCTCGGTGACTAGGAACCCGAGAACTTTCAGAACTGAGACTATCACGTTTAGGGACAGGGACATTCAAAGAGGTAATTTTGATTACCTTAACCGAGCCGAGGCATTTGTTTTAATCTCGGTGACTAGGAACCCGAGAACTTTCAGAAATGGGACTATCATGTTTAGGGACAGGGACATTCAAAGAGGTAATTTTGATTACCTTAACCGAGCCGAGGCATTTGTTTTAATCTCGGTGACTAGGAATCCGAGAACTAATGGGAATATCTCATTATCATTCTACAATTAAGGGACAGGGACATTGAGAGAGGTAATTTTTTTACCTTAACTGAGAAAGGCAGTTGTTTTCAACTCTGGTGAATAGGAACCAGAGAAGTTATGGGACTATCATGTTTTCATTCTACAATTCAAGGACAGGAACATATAGAGAGGTACTTTGATTACCTCTATCGAGAGGAGGCATTTGTTTTCACCGGTTTGATAAATACAAAACCTTGAGCGGTGTCTTTTCTTCTTCTTAATTGAAGTTGCACAAGGTCCCAACTTTGAACTATCTCCTTGTTTTTATTCCAGGATCCAAAGCTGCATAAAAGAGAAAGATAACTTGAAGTCAGATAAGAGACAACTAAACATAGTCGACGCAAGAAAAAAAAAAAGTTTCTGCCTTTTCTAAGAATAATCTATGAAAGACGAAATATTTTGAATTGAGAGATTACATGAACCGCAAATGTAATTTCGAATTCTCAGAACAGAAATCAAAACGAGATTTGAAAAAACACCCTATTCGTTCTGAAACCCTAGGATCTAAAACTCAAACATTGACGATGGAAAAAGAAAGAGAACGCAATCAGATGAGAGAATCAGTAAACCCTAATTAAACTATGTTCTTATGAAGTCAATTTGATAGAATCTCAAATTCAAACACCGAATACAAAAGAAAGAAAGAGAGAAAAGGAACTCACCGATTCAAACCAGAGCTCTGATCGTCTTCCGTCTCTCCGATCGTCTTCCCTCACAATACTACCGGTTGATTCCTCCGATGTTGCTTCCATACTTTAATTACTCAAGCCACAGAACTAGGAGCGAGCGTGAGAGAGAGAAGGAGAAACGAGAGAATCTGGATGAAAATTAGGGTTTTGTTTTCTTTCTTTCTTCGATTTCAGAGTAATATCTGTAATCAGAATAGATAAGAAGACGAGAAGAAGAATATCACTAACGGTCATAAAATATTTGGGCCTGAATTACGTGGCGGTCTAAGACGGCCCAAAGACATAAACGACATGTGAGACATGAACTTTTATTTTCAGGATTAATTAATTAAGTAAAAATTATGTTAATCGAAAATTTAAATATTTTGTAGTGATTTATTTTTGTATTTTATTTTACTTCAATTTTTTTTCTATTAAAATTTTAAATTGATTTAAAAATCAATAAATTTTTTATTTTTATAATTTAAATACAAGTGACTTTATTATTTTTGGCTTGAATATATTATTTAAGAAAACGTTTGTTCATTAGTTAAACATGAATCAGTAATTTTAATTTATAATTAGTCTATTTCAGTTCGTAAAATAATTATATAAAATAATAAAGTTGGTATTCACTATTTGTCTATTTTATCTGAAAATCACGAAGAACATGTTCATCTATAAATCTAGAAGCTTTTGTGCTCGCAACCATCCTTATAAAAAGCTCAAGACCCCCGCAACGAAGAGAAAAATTCATTCATTAGACAAAACAATTTGAGAAAAACTCCATTGCAAACATCTCGAGAAGAGATTTTCATTGAATTTGTTTATTTAATTCATCAATACAAATCCAAATTTTTATTCTTATAATCTCTAAATCATCTTTGTATCATCGACAAAAATCTAGACCTAAATCCGATTTACGAAATTATAAGTGTAGATCTTGCATCCACACTCACTTTCATGCTTGTTTTGCAAACCAAGCATCATAGAATCATATAGACAAGGTGGGCTTGATCTCCATTGACATTGAATAGGCTTATGTAAACTTTTTTTTGTATTAGGAATAGCATTGAACATTTCTGATACAATAAACTCTGTTTCAAAAAGTAATCCAAAGATAGACGTTACAAAAAAATTAAAAGCAACGTCCACTAAAATTTAAAACAAAAAATAAATTATTTGACAGAACATAAAGCGAATAAACAGAAGGAAAAAAAAAAAGAGAAGCTTTCTCACACCCAAACGATACTTTCAGTTTTAGAATTTGAAACCTTTTTTTGATCAGAGAGTGAATCAGAGAGAGTAATGGAGGAGGAGAGGAACATGGCGTTGAGCGATCCGCATCATTCCACCGCCGATCTTCTTTCTTGGTCTGAGATCCGTCGTCCTGACTATTCCACCGCCGCTAATCGCTCTAACCAGGTTTGTTTTTCCGGCGAGAACTCATCGTTTTAGTCTAATTCGGTTTTGATTATGCTCCGGCGAGTGAAATTTCGTTCTGATTGTCCATTTTTTCCAGCCATCTGATGGAATGAGCGAGGTACTTGGCGGCGGCGGTCAGATCACTAACGCGGAAACCAAATCGCTTAATAAGAAGTAACCGATTTCTTCTCTTTTCATGCGAATCGATTTCTATGTTGATTCTGGGTTTTGTTAATTTTATCAGATTAATTGATTGTGAAGAAGCAAATTTTACTAGTGAAATGTTTCTCTCTACTGATTTTTGCTTGATTTAGGGTTTTGTTTGATTAGTTGAGGAATTAGGGTTTAATGAATCTGCTTTTTGAGTTCTGAATGTGAATTTTTTTTTCAGAAAATGATTTTTATGTTTCAAGTCTCTTTTTCAGTGTTTCTTATAGGAAGAATTGTTCTGGGCATAAGTTAAAAGAAATGACTGGTAGTGACATATTCTCTGATAATGGTAAAGATGATCCAAATCACCAGACAAGAATCCATTACCATCAGGATCAGGTACTTGTTTCATCCATTTTTACTTTTGTAAGGAGTTAGTTGATGATAATGATATCTTATGTGATGGTTACTGGTTTTGCAGCTAAGCCAAATATCATTCAGCGGCGAAGAGAATGCTATGAAACCAACCGATAATGGTAAAGATGATCCAAATCACCAGTCAAGAATCCATTACCATCAAGATCAGGTACTTGTTTCATCCTCCATTGTACTCTTTTAAGGATTCAGTTGATGATAATGGTATTCTAAGTAATGGTTATTGGTTTTGTTTGTAGCGAAGCCAGATATCTTTCAGCGGCGAAGAGAATGTGACTCCGAAGAAACCAATCACTTTAAACGAGGCTGCAAAGCAAAAGGAGTTGAGCAGGACTGTAGAAACCCAAGCAGATTCAAAGAGTAAGAAGAAGCAGATATCGAACACCAAGACCAAAGCAATGAGTGGTCATGACATCTTTGCATCTCCTGAAAGCCAACCTCGCCGCTTGTTCGGTGCAACACAACAAGAAGTTAAAGGAAATAAGAACGCGGAGGAATCTGCACCGAGGAGCTCGCTTGCATCTGTTAAACCCTCAAATGTAAGTACCTAGTGTCATTACATTGTGATGATATTTGGGATGGCTAGAAAACTGACCTGTTTCATAACTGTTTTTGACAGGGGCAAAGCGGCAACAGACTGTTTAGTGAAGAACATGTTGTGAAGTCATCAAAGAAGATACATAACCAGAAGTCTCAGTCTCAGGGACTCACAAGCAATGGTATCTTCAAGTCTGATAAAATCCCTCCTGGTTATTCAGAGAAGATGCAAAGCTCAGCTAAAAAGCGGGAAATGAGCGGACACAATATATTTGCAGACGGGAAATCGGAATATCGGGATTACTATGGTGGTGCGAGGAGACCTCCTGGTGGTGAGAGCAGCATTTCATTGGTCTAGATGAGTCTTAAAACCCAAGACACTCTTAATATGTTCATGTTTAGGATTTAGTTTTAAATGTTGTCTGACCAAAGTAGTTTGTGTTGGTGTGGTCTTTCTTTGTCTACGGTCTCATTTATACTAGATAACTTCAACACAGGCTCATGTGTTGTTCTCTTCTCTTTCATTAAAAAACAAAATGGCTTCAGAGTTTTTCTAGTACGATGTCGTTTGAACTCGAGAAAGGTTAGATTAAAATTAAATCAAACGACTCCACTGGGGATCGAACCCAGAGTCTCTGGTTTCGTAGACCAGCGCCTTATCCATTGGGCCATGGAGTCATCTTTGCTTTAGCTGTTCAGCTTAAGTGAAAAATTGTTTATCAATCTTATCATAAATGAAAGCTTTTGGATTTTCTCTGAAGTGACTCTATTTTCATAGGAAAAAGAAATTTTTTATTGTGTCAACTAGGGCTGGGCGTTTGGGTATTCGGTTCGGTTCTAGAACCGAACCATTCGGTTCCAAGTATTTTGGTTCTGAGATTTAGGAACCATATTGGAACCAAATCAATATCGGTTCGGTTCTGGTTCGGTTCGGTTCGGGTAATAAATTTTGGAACCGAGTAGGAACCAAACTGTTTCGGATATTTTTGGAACCGAAAAAACAATAGAATTATAATATAAAATTCAAATGCAATTATGCAAGTATGCAATGCAACATCACATATTAGTCATCATACCATTACAAATTCAAAAAATAGTTGAAACTTAGAAAGTATTAAGTCAAAAGACACCCAAAGTTTCAAAAATACCACAAAACACAAGTTTTAAAGACACCAAAAGAACCTTTGTCTTCGATTTGCAATGACTCGAAAGAGAGAGTTGTTGTCTGGGGCGTCTCCTTCTTTGAGAAAGAGAGAACAAACTAGGATATCTCTTTAGGTTTCAGAGAAATATATAAGAGATAAGAGAGATATATGGTAGGTTGTTAGACTTGGGTAGTTAGATTTATATCTAGATGGGTTTGAGATTTTGGGTTATATAAATATAGGTTAATGGGCTATGTGTTTGGGTACCCGAATGGATATCGGTTCCTACCCGAACCGAACCGATACCCATGGTTCTTTGATTCAAGATCCAATCGATATTTTCACTAGATACGGAACCGAACCGTACCCATCAATTTCGGTTCGGTTCGGTTCGGTTCTATGTGGATCCATATTTGTGCCCAGGCCTAGTGTCAACATAGTGTATATACTGTATAACTGTATATATAAATAAATGGCCGACAAAAAAAATATATAAATAATGTCACTTGTGGTTTATGAAGGACAATTTTGTTTGTCTTGTCTGGTTCAATCCAAATCCAATCCAAAATTTTAATATTAGTTTGGCTTTAGACTTTTATAGATATCCATCCACTTGTTCTCAATTTGCTTTCACAAAACCTGATTTCAGTTTGTTTTCGGCCAACTCATGAAACAAAACTAGAATTAAGGTGACATTTGTTTTTTTGTATTTTCATGCAAGTCTTTTGTCGCATATAACAAGGCTCATAGAGTATGACCACATGAACCCACTAGGCCCATAATGTTGTTATAGTTAGAGGATATTAGGCCCAAACATTGGTTCATCACTAAGCCCATTCTCGGAATGGTTTTTGTGTTCTGTTTCATGTGTGTTCTGTTTTTTTTTTTTTCAACGAACATAAATAGAGAGAGGGTAAAATAGACATTTATAAGCCGTCCTCGTCAACGTGCTTGGCTTCACTTTCCAAAAATAGGCTCTTCTCCTTCCTTCAGCTTCTTCTCTTAAAACATTTCTCCGAAGAATTTGAGAATCTGACTCCAACTTTTTCGATCTTTCAAAAGAAGAATGGCGTCGGTGTCACCATTAGCGAAATATAAATTGGTGTTCTTAGGAGATCAATCTGTCGGCAAAACCAGCATCATCACTCGTTTCATGTATGACAAGTTCGACACAACCTACCAGGTTAAATCTAAATCACATCGATGATTCTGTTTCTCTGTTTCTGTTTTTTTACATTTTTGATCATCGAAAACAAAATTTTGAGATTATTAGATTCATCAATCCAAATTATCACATTATGATCGTTAATCACGTAAATTAAAGATACAAATGCTGAATGTAAATTTCATTTAATTGTAATCTTCACAAAATTTATAAAGTATACGCATTTATCTTTGTTTCATTCGCAGGCTACTATTGGAATAGACTTCTTATCTAAAACAATGTACCTTGAAGATCGCACTGTTCGTTTGCAGCTATGGTAAGAAATGCTCTTTAGAAAGTTACAAGTTTAGCTTCTTAATTAGGTCTCGTAAAAACAATGTAAGCTCGGTTTTTCGCGATGAGAAAGCTAAGAATGTGAATTTTGCCTTTAGGGATACTGCTGGACAAGAAAGATTCAGGAGTTTAATACCAAGTTACATCAGAGATTCTTCTGTTGCTGTTGTTGTTTATGATGTAGCTAATAGGCTCTCATTTCTCAACACATCCAAGTGGATCGAAGAAGTCCGTACTGAAAGAGCAGGAGATGTTATCATTGTTCTTGTCGGTAACAAGACTGATCTTGTCGAAAAAAGGTAACACTGTTATAAGCCAACATTACAATTTCTCTGTTTTTCATTTGATATAAGATTGTTTTGAAAATGTTATTTTTTCTTCTTGTTGTGAAAATTTTCAGGCAAGTTTCTATTGAAGAAGGAGATAGCAAAGGTCGTGAATACGGAGTTATGTTCATCGAGACAAGCGCGAAGGCAGGATTCAATATTAAGCCTTTGTTTCGCAAAATCGCTGCGGCTTTACCAGGAATGGAATCGTATTCAAACACTAAAAATGAGGATATGGTTGACGTAAACCTTAAACCGACTTCGAATTCATCCCAAGGTGATCAACAAGGAGGAGGTTGTTCTTGTTGATGATCAGAAGAAAGAAAAGAGATATATCTTTCCCATGAACATGAAAAACCTTAGATCGTCCGGTTTAGATCACAGACCGGTTCCATCAATATCATTGTCTGTCTAAATGCTATATAAAAAGAAATGTTGTGAAATGTTAGTTTTCAACTATGAACACATGTTTTTGTGAATTCTGAGTTGTTACCAAGACTCTCTACATGTGAGTGTATCTTTTATTTTGACAATGGTTGAAGTGCTACACAGTAAATTAGGAAAGGGTCAGTAAGAAAAATCTCGAAATCGAAAATTTCACTGCAAGGGAGAAATAGTGATTATGGAATAGTGAAGCTAAGAAATATATGGCACTCTCTTCAACGTTCCAATGTCTTTGGACAAGGACAATTCACCATCTTCCCGAACTGATCGCGAACGTGGTATCGACTTACCTTGGTCTCGTATGTGGCGTGGTGCTATCTTGCTCACGTCTCCGAGTTCTCTTGGATTTGCCGTCGATCTATCTATCTTTGTTACCGCTTTTTCTTATGTTGTTATCTTTGTTGCTTCAAGCCTTGTTCTTGGTAAAAACTCTAAGCTTTGTAATGTTTTTGTGCGAATGAATGAAAAACAACTCTTTTACACAAAAAAAAAGTAAAGAAAAACATAAGAAGGATAAAATTTTGAAAAAAGAAAGAAATCCCATTAAAATGGATGTCACACATTAGGCTGTGTTTCTCTCAGTCTTATAATTGTAAAAATTCCTATATAAATAATAAATGTATGCTTATCTCCTCCACAAACAATAATTGTATTATTTTAAAATATTATTTATTAACTCAAATTAATTTGTGTGTTAAAATATATTTAAATTGAGTTATAATTTTAATTATAATATTTCTAGTGAAGAATTTTTTTTTTAATTTAATCAAATTATAAAAGGATATGGCATTCTTAATTATATTGGATATATTTTTGTAGTTTCCCATCCATAAAAGTTATAGTAAATATAATAATAAACTTATTTTTGTTTTTGGTCAACAAAAGATAAAACTTCTTATTATAATATTTTCTTATAAATAAATATTTGAATCACTTAAATAATTTACCTTACTAGGAAAAGTTTGCTAAAAATTTAACATAACATAACTTCATTGGATAAGGTTGAAAATGATATATTTCATAAGCTTTGTTCTATTATATATACAGATACAATCTCATATTAAACATCTCTCTTCATATCTAACTTCAGTCAAAAACTTAATTAGGTATTCTTATGGGTTATCAAGCAGATCTAAAGCCAATAAGCTATTTCACAGATCAATGTGGCTTCTGCAAGAAAAAGATTTATCCAAAGCTTGGTGACATCTTCATGTATAAGTACGTTTTTCATATATTCTTTTAAAATCATTTAAGTTAGGGCTTGATTGGTTCTCCCGCTAGCACCCTCCTAGCGGTTGCTAGCGGTCGGTTGCGGTTGTTAGCGGTTGGTACCATTCATAGAAACCGCTCTGTACCGCTTCGAACCGCTCGAAATCGCTGAATTTCAAAAGCTCCTTCCCGCAAGCGTTTGCGGTTGCGGGCGGTAGCGGTTGGATTTAAAAAAAAAAAAAAAAATCAAACGTTTACTTATAATTATTATAATATATATTAATCATATATATATCTTTCATCTTTGTATTACGTTCTTATCAGAATCCCTAATAATATTCTGAAACCCTATTCTCTCAATGTCTTCCACCCAAACTGATGAAAATCAATAACCAAACGTAAGTATCATATATCTTTTTATTCATTCATCACCTCATGTGTAACTTTTTGAATATTTTTCATGGCATCGTTTTTTTTCTTTTCATTACGTATTGCTTTGTTTTTTGATTGAATATATGTTTCGATTTGTTTTCTCGAATAGAAACTCACTTGCTTTTTGATTGAATTCAACGTTATTTACGGTTTGTCTCATTACTTGATGCAATTTTTGATGTTAAACCAAATGCATAAAGTACTATCTTGTTACAAAATTTCTTTATTTTTGAATAATTATTTAGTACTTTATTTATGGTTTTAATTATTAAACATGTTCAATTTTTCTAATATTATCATAATAATATATTGGTGTTTTTATTTCTTTTTTTTGTAATATTTTTTATTTATTTTGGTCATTTTTTTATTTAACTGCTACCGCACCCGCTGGTTTACCAGTCATAAAACTCCCGCAAACGCATCCATTTTCAAACGCTAAACCACTCGTTCAAAACGCTTGATAACGCTTGAAGCCGCAACCGCCCGCTTCCGCAAACTCCCGCAACCGCAACCGCAACCGCAGCGTTTAAACCAGTCAGGCCCTTAGTTGTTTTAATCGTAATTGATCTAAATTGTATTCTTGTATCGTGAAAATATAGTGACACTCCCTTCTGTGCGGAGGCATGTCGAGAAAAACAGCAGGAGGCTGACAAAGAGAAAAATAAAATAGAGACAATAATTGGAAAAGAAGATGAAACTAGATAGGATATTGAAAAAGAGACTCATAACAATGTTGATGAGATTTCATATCCAAATATTAGGAATGACAATAGTTTTTTTGTTTACCTTCTAAATTTTTAATAGTCAACATTTCCATATTAAAAAGTCAAACCCCATTATGTATCATATATTTTAAGATAAGATATGGTGAAATATTCTTGATATATGTAATAGATTTCTATGTAAGAAAAATCTATTAAAGCACATATTTTATTCTTTTGGTAAATATTTTCAAATGATTCTGTATCACAACAAAGATAACAAAAAACAATTCTTTTGATTAATAATAGATTTTTTTTCCTTTTATTTTCCTTTTCTCTATATTCTTTTTTAATATACATGAAATAAAACAACTCTAATTTGGAACAGTCTGGTTTTTCACATAATAGTACTAATTAAAGATTAGCTTATGTCGACATGTTTAAACTTGAAAGAAAAAAAAACACTTGGGTTCACTTTTATATTCACCCCTTTTATTTCAGCCAATCAAAATCTGCAACCTAATAATAATAATAATAAAAGTTCATTTAATTATAAAATCTAATTTGTCACTAAAACAAAATTATGTATCGGTTTATTAAAAAGGGTTAGGGTTTAGATTTTATGATTAAACGAGGTTAAATATCGGTTTGGATTTATAAACGGATTTAGATTTTACAATTAAACGAGTTTAAATATCGGTTTGAGTTTAGAAAGTACGATTATGGTTTAGATTTTGTAATTAAAAGAGATTGTATATCCGTTTGGGTTTATAAAAGAGTAGTTGGGGATTAGATTTAATAATTAAATAAATTTAATTTTTTATTATGTGGCAAATTTTGATTGGTTAAAATAAAAATGGTGAATAAAAGGATTGCTCAAAAAAATTGTCCAAAGATGCTACAATTTCGGTAAAAGCTTTTAGGGTGATTTTCCGAACAAATGGATTTAGGGTTGGCTTGCCACATAAGATGCTACAATTTCGGTAAAATCTTTTAGTCTCACGTGTACCTAGTTTAGATGAATCTTTTAACATTATTACTTGATTTTATATTGGCCTCAAAGGTTGGTTTTTTTACAAGTATTTGGGTCTGACCGTATAGTGACCCAAATAACTCAATGACAATGAGTATCACTTGCCACTAAAGTCTTTGCTACTTGGTAATGTGGCCACGTTACTCAGTGCAAGCGGTTCTAAAGGTTGACTAGTTAGACGACCAAAACACTTTGAGCCCGTTACCCGACTTTTGATCAAAGTCCGGGTCAAGTAAGTCTTCCAACTCTTAAGGAAATTTGATTTACCCTTGGTAAGATTGGACTCCGTATCTTGATGAAAATATCTAAGTACATTTAAGTGAGAATTTGAAATTCAAAACTAATATGTCTTTGTTTGTACGTGGTAAGATAGAGGTTAGATCAAAACCGTTCTTTCAAGTCTCAACCTCCAAGAAGACAAAACATGGAAAAGCAAAAGCCTTTGCGGATCCGGGCCATGCACAAATAAGGACTTTGCAAACCATGGATAAACAAAGACTATGATTATGAATACCCTACAACAAGTACAAACCCTCCATGCTATATATTGCATTCACCCTCACAGTCACAGATATTAAAATGAATTGTCCGCCAGTTGCCAAATAAAATAAGCAAAGTAGATGCATGAGAAGTACTTCAGTGCTTCTGCTTCTGCTTCTGCTTCATACTTATCCGGCCAAGTATTCTATATAAAACATATGAGAAAATGATTCATATCTCTTGCTCTTGCATTCGTTTCGTTCATCAGTCTCTCTTTGATTTTTTCTATAAACTTGAAAATTTGTCTTTGACTCGAGATACGATCTCATTCACTTTTCGATCACATCTCACAACAACAAAAAAAAAAAAAACCCAATTTTCTTATATTTTTTTTCCACTAAAGTGCTTACACATTAGAGGACATTGCACACAACCATTTCTTTTTTTGCTAAATTGTAAATATTTCATTGATAATGAAAAAAGTTTAGGTTACAAACATAAAATTTGAAACCTATACATATGAAACCATGGCAAAAAGAATAAAAACATGGAAACATAAAAAACGGTTAATTAAAACCAAGTTTTCGGTCCATCTTCTCAACCATGCACTGAAGCAGTGGGAGAAAATGAAGCGATGACGTTCAAATCTATGCTTCCCGAATGAAATGCAAAAGCAGAAGGGCCATTGCTGATTGTGGAACACCATGTTGCGACGGACCAAAGCTTTAGAAGCCTTTCGCAGGAGGCCCGAGAGCGAGCCGTCAACGGTTTAAAACTCAAAAACTACGATCACTTACTCTCCTTGCTCTAAGTGAGATCGTTTTTTCCTTCCAATCCATGAGCTTTCCCAAAAACAGAACCTCACACGCTAAAAACCAAAGATGCAAGCTCCCTCTAACCAAGTTCAATCCTCGAAGTCAGCAGCGCAGAGCAAGATAGTAACCATTCACCATTCACCACAACCATTTCTTTAAATTCTCACTTCTTACTTTTTCTGTTTTTATAGAAAGTTAAGATACTTTTTTTTGAAAGAGAAGTTTAGATACAAGTTTCACATATATTTTCCACAAATATTCAAAAAAATTCTGAATACCGGGAGCAAATTTTTTTTAAGCAAATCAGATAATAAAATTAGATATAACAAAAAAAAATACAACTTGCTTTTTCTAAAATATAGGCTCAGCTCTAATCAGATTCCGTTTTTTTAATGTTTCTCTTCGACCAAAAAAAAATAATTTAATGTTTCTATTATACAAGATTTTTAAAATAGGAGAATCAAAGTAGAATTAGAAAAATTATTATAAAGCAGAAGAATATATTGTCACCACGTGATAAAAAATAACCCAATGGATAATTTAATAGTACAGAGAAACAAAAAAAAAATGATTAATCAATAAGAGAAAAAGGCAGAGTCGCGGAACTTGCGTCAGAAGAATTTTGACTAGAAAGAAAAAACTTCAATTTCGACGGCCATTTTTTTTCTCATCGTACGGATTCCTATCTCTCACTAACTCAGATGCTTCCTTCTTCACTTTATTTTTAACCCTTTTCGATTTTCGTTTTCCAGCTTTTTGATTCCTCTGTTTCACCAAGTAAACGAAGAAGAAGAAGAAGAAAGTTCTCACTTTTACTCTAAAAGTGTTTCACTTTTTTCTTTTATGTCTGCTTTGAGTTTCTGAGATCGGAGAAAGGAAATCTATGGCGGAAGCAAGAAGATTTAGCCCAGATAATGAATTAGGTGAAGTGAAAGTTTTCTTCTTTTGTATATTTCGATCTATTTGGGTGTGGGTATTGATTGGTATCATTCATAGTCATCAAAGTTTCAATCTTTATGTGTGGAATCTTTTCAAGATGCCTTTTTTTATCCATTATTGGTCTGAGTGATGATTTGTTCTTGTTCAAAGATATTTTATCTGAATATTCATCACTTACTTATTAGTTTACTTATCCAAGTTGAAATAGAATCTTATCTATATCTTGTTTTTGGTCTTGATCATCATTTTAAGTGGTTTACTTTTACTTATTAACTCTTATTTTCTATGATTGTTATAGGTTGATAATATTTTGGGAATTTTAGTATCTTGTGTTGGTTATACTTTAATTAGCTGCTTCTTGTTAGGAAGTTGACTTTTTAGCTACTTATCTAATGTAACATTATAGTCTCTTAAAAGAATTCTTGATGAATGATACCTTAATTGTACTAACTTTGTGTGTCTTCTGATTGTAATACTTTTTGTCCACAGATGTTGGCCAAATACTCTCAGAAGCACGACATCGATGGCTTCGTCCTCCTGAAATCTGTGAAATTTTACAGAATTACCAAAGATTTCAAATTTCTACTGAGCCACCTACTACACCATCAAGTAAGGTCTTTTTGATCTTGCTCATGTACAGCTCAAGTTTTTTCCTTTATAAACATTCAGTGTAAAATGATAATTTGTTCATGTTAACTCTCTGTCTCTTTGCAGGTGGGTCTGTTTTTATGTTTGATCGAAAGGTGCTCAGATACTTCAGGAAAGATGGGCACAATTGGAGGAAGAAAAAAGATGGAAAGACTGTGAAAGAAGCTCATGAGAGGTTGAAGGTAGTAAATAAAACATTTATTTCATTTTGTAGTTCTTTGAGGAGTATGATCAAAAGAGAATTGCACCTCGTGATTATCCCGATTGCAATATCATCAAGATGTTGGTTGGTGCCTATTAGTAATTTCTCTTGCTCATGAATATCCATGCAGGCGGGTAGCGTTGATGTTCTACATTGTTACTATGCGCATGGACAAGACAATGAAAACTTTCAAAGGCGCAGCTACTGGTTGCTTCAAGAGTAAGCTTATTATAGCATTATAACTTTTACATCATTTGCTTGTGATCTTAAACTATTATGATAGATTCCCTTTCTCTCTCTCCTCTTATTTGTTAATTCAACATGAAGTGTATTACCAGATAGCTAATATAACACAACACCTTGACTAAGTCTCTTGTTCATTTTTGTTGGTGACTAATGCAGAGAGCTTTCCCACATAGTTTTTGTCCATTATCTCGAAGTGAAGGTGTGACCCCATCCTGTTATTTGCTAATTACTCTGCCTCACTAGTTTTCTTTTCAAGGAAGTTGACATTCTGAGAGTGAAATTTGTAAATGAATCAGGGTAGTAGAGTTTCTACTTCTTATAACCGGATGCAAAGGACTGAAGATGCTGCTCGGTCTCCTCAAGAAACTGGGGAAGCCTTGACCAGTGAACATGATGGTTATGCTTCTTGCAGCTTCAATCAAAACGATCATAGCAATCATTCACAAACTACTGACTCAGCAAGTGTCAATGGTTTTCACTCTCCAGAACTTGAAGATGCTGAATCAGGTGCTTCTTCTTTCATACGTGATATCACAACTACCTATTGAGGATTCCTTAGTCTCTTATCTTATGCATATTACACACATTCATTCTGCAGCATACAATCAGCATGGAAACTCCATAGCTTACTCTCATCAAGAACTTCAGCAGTCTGCAACAGGAGGAAGCCTTACTAATTTTGATCCTTACTATCAAATCTCTTTGACGCGTAAGTTCTTGGTGAACTGGTTTTATGTTCTTTTGTTGTATCCAGTAAAAGCACAAGTTCCAAATAACCATCTGATACCTCCAACGTCATATGGTTTCTTACCTTTTTAGCAGCCAGGGATAATTATCAAAAAGAGCTTCGCACAATCCCCGTAACTGATTCTTCAGTTATGGTAGACAAAAGCAAAACTATCAACAGTCCTGGAGTAACAAATGGGTTAAAAAACAGAAAATCCATTGATTCCCAAACCTGGGAAGAGATTCTGGGAACTTGTGGTTCTGGAGTTGAAGCCTTACCTTTGCAGCCTAACAGTGAGCATGAAGTACTGGACCAAATACTCGAAAGCTGCTCTTTTACAATGCAAGATTTTGCCAGTCTACAAGAGTCCATGGTCAAAAGCCAGGTATACACAATTCTGATGGTATCTAGCTCAATTTCTGCATTCCTCTTCCTCAGTTGTGCTGCTGAGTGTTTTCTATGTATACTTTGAGTATCTGAATACTTTTTCGCTTTAAACGTCTGCAGAATCAGGAGTTAAATTCAGGACTTACATCTGATCGTACCGTGTGGTTCCAAGGACAAGGTTTACACTGCACTCAGCTTGTTTTAGTATAAAGTTGGAATTTATTTGTACTTAAAAGCCAACTTTCAATTTTTTTTTGTATCAACTGCAGATGTGGAGCTAAATGCTATAAGCAATCTAGCTTCGAATGAAAAAGCTCCATATCTATCTACGATGAAACAGCATCTGTTGGACGGTGCATTGGGCGAAGAAGGTTTAAAAAAGATGGACAGTTTCAATCGCTGGATGAGCAAAGAACTTGGAGATGTTGGTGTTATAGCTGATGCAAACGAGTCCTTTACTCAATCAAGTTCGAGAACCTACTGGGAAGAAGTTGAGAGTGAGGATGGGTCCAATGGTCACAACTCTAGGAGGGACTTGGATGGATATGTTATGAGTCCTTCCCTCTCAAAGGAACAGCTCTTTAGCATCAATGACTTCTCTCCAAGCTGGGCATATGTGGGTTGTGAAGTGGTGGTAAGCACTGTTGATCAAATTATCTTTTCAGGGAGTCATAAGATTGGTTTGTGCTTATTTTCTTTTGCAAAAATTTTAGGTTTTTGTCACTGGAAAATTCTTAAAGACTCGGGAGGAGACTGAAATTGGCGAGTGGTCTTGCATGTTTGGGCAAACAGAAGTTCCAGCAGATGTTATATCTAATGGTATTCTCCAATGTGTTGCTCCTATGCATGAGGCTGGAAGAGTTCCGTTTTATGTAACATGTTCCAACAGATTGGCATGCAGTGAAGTGCGTGAATTCGAGTATAAGGTTGCCGAGTCTCAAGTTTTTGATAGAGAAACAGATGATGAGTCTACTATTAACATTCTTGAGGCAAGATTTGTTAAACTGTTGTGCTCAAAATCTGAAATCTCAAGCCTTGTTCCCAGGAATGACAGTCATTTGTCCCAATTGAGCGAGAAGATTAGTTTACTGCTTTTCGAGAACGATGACCAGTTGGATCAGATGCTCATGAATGAAATCTCCCAAGAAAATATGAAAAACAACCTTTTGCAGGAATTTCTGAAAGAAAGCTTACACTCATGGCTTTTACAAAAGATAGCAGAAGGTGGAAAAGGTCCAAGTGTTTTGGATGAAGGTGGCCAAGGTGTATTACATTTTGCAGCTTCTCTTGGTTACAACTGGGCCTTAGAACCAACAATAATCGCCGGTGTAAGCGTTGATTTTCGCGATGTAAATGGTTGGACCGCACTTCATTGGGCAGCTTTCTTTGGCAGGTGAGTAACTTCTTCAAAGTGTTCATCTTCTTTTTCTTTTATTTTTGTATTTGAAACAAAGGTATTTTCATATTCAGGGAGAGGATAATTGGTTCACTCATAGCTCTTGGTGCTGCTCCTGGAACTTTAACTGACCCAAATCCAGATTTCCCATCAGGAAGCACACCTTCTGATCTAGCCTATGCTAATGGTCACAAAGGAATTGCTGGTTATCTCTCAGAATATGCCTTAAGGGCCCATGTTTCTTTGCTCAGTCTAAATGATAACAATGGGGAAACTGTTGAGACCGCTCCTAGCCCATCCAGCTCATCATTGACAGACTCGTTGACAGCTGTACGTAACGCTACTCAGGCTGCAGCTCGGATTCATCAGGTTTTCAGGGCTCAGTCTTTCCAGAAGAAGCAACTAAAAGAATTTGGAGATAGAAAGCTTGGAATGTCGGAGGAGCGTGCTCTTTCAATGCTTGCTCCTAAAACACACAAATCAGGACGGGCCCATAGTGATGATTCCGTGCAAGCCGCTGCTATCCGGATTCAGAACAAGTTCCGCGGTTACAAGGGAAGAAAAGACTATTTGATTACCAGACAAAGAATCATTAAAATACAGGTGTGTAATGTTTTGATAAAACCAAACCAAAGTTCTTGATTCGTTTAAGGTATGTCAAATTCTTAACGGTTTTAAACTGGCAATGGTGCAGGCTCATGTGAGAGGTTATCAGGTTAGGAAAAACTACAGAAAGATAATTTGGTCAGTGGGGATATTAGAGAAGGTGATATTGCGTTGGAGACGGAAAGGAGCTGGTTTGCGCGGGTTTAAGTCAGAAGCACTTGTTGATAAGATGCAAGATGGAACAGAGAAAGAAGAAGACGATGATTTTTTCAAACAAGGAAGAAAGCAAACAGAGGAAAGGCTACAAAAAGCTCTTGCAAGAGTGAAGTCAATGGTTCAATATCCTGAAGCTAGAGATCAATACCGTAGATTGCTAAATGTTGTCAACGACATCCAAGAAAGCAAGGTAATTATACTAATATACTAATCTCCTTAGAATCAACAAAACTGAACAATCTTGATTCTTAACCTTTGGTTTATAGGTCGAAAAGGCTCTTGAAAATTCAGAAGCAACATGTTTTGATGACGATCTGATAGATATTGAAGCATTGTTGGAAGATGATGACACATTGATGTTGCCTATGTCCTCATCTATGTGGACCAGTTAAACCACTCCCAAGCTTTATTGTGTGATATTGTGTCACAGTTTTATTGACTCATTAAACTTGTAAATTCTTATGTAATCACTCTTCTCATATTCTGTAACTGCATTCATTACTCTAATTTAAATGATATATTTGAAACATAAATCAAACTTATATAACCAAAATAGTAACCTTGTAGTTAAAACTGTACATGGTTGGTTTCCATTAAGTATACAAACTTTCTGTCTTTGGCGTTAAAGGAAACTTGAGTTTTTCTTTGCAAGTCACAAAATAGCTTGGAAGAGAGACACGAGAGGAGAGAGGTTAGGTTCTTGTCAAATGACTAAAAGCCCTTTTTCTCTTATCTTGTTCCGAGGCTCTCGTATAACAAGATGTAGCCATGGTCAGTATTGCTTGAGTACTCTTGCGATGAACCGAAGAATGTTTGGACAGCAGATTCTTCAATCATTTCAACACTCTCATCATCAAAGAAGAGCCAATGGTTATGCGATTTCACGAGGCTAACATAATGACCATGGTTGGGTCCACTTCCGACATGAACCACGACTGCAAAGAGAGAGTACTCAATGTCCACATATTCTTCCACTGTATTGCTGAGTTTCAGTTCTAGAGGGAAGACGACTCTGTAAGATAACTTCTTGTAACGGCCCAACTGTTCAATATATTTAAACCGTTTCAGATGTATAACTAAGATGTGTGGCGGTTTCTTGATCTTCATTCTCTTCTGCGCTTCTTGTAAACTGCAGAAAATAGAATAAAACAGTTTCAGTCAGAAACCAAAAGAACTTCTACGGAATTTGGCACGATGCAAAACAAACTAAAGGACTCAAGTTGACATGCCAGAACATTATTTTTTACCTGCAGCATTTATCACAGAAAAATTTGTCTTCAGCATGTAGAGTCTCTGTGGAGCTGAAGTTTTTCAAACAGCTAGTTATCGAACTGTTCTGTTCAATATCAAGGCTCAGGTCTAGGAAAGTTTCGTCCCTTGCTGTTACTGTCTCACACCGCAGACACCTAGTCTCGTTGGTAAGTATACCCTGTAATGAGTTTGCACACGCTAAATTACTTGAGGTAACTGGAAAAGACTTTCTAATATGTGATTTTCACTGTGATTGGGCTCTGGGACTAGAATATGCAGGAAGTCAAGCATTTTCTTGGAATGTTATTGATGCTTACAGCCTCTATACTGAAGGCAGATATAAGTCCATGATCAAATATTTTTTCGCATATCTATCTGGTAACTAAATGAAAAGCCAAAAATCCACTGATATATGCCATTTATTATAAAGCACCTTACCTGAAAAATCTTGTGCACCCAAGTAACAATTGGCTCTTTATGAACACCATTTTCCTGGGGAACTTTCAGTCCATTTGCAATCTTTTCAGGAGATGATGAAGTTGCATTGTCCGTTGTTGTACCTTGTACCTCTTTCTCTAAGATCTCAACAAGTTCATTCAGCAAATAATTCAGGAACTCATGTGCATCCTGCATGAGAATAGTAACACAATTTAATCTACAGATATATATTAATCTCTTACAATTTGATTATCCTCATATAAGAAGATTTGCAGTTACGCCGAATACCTGATGCATATAACTCCGGAAAAGCTCATTTTGTTTCTTCAACCTCTGTACAAAGCGCTTGGGAGCAATAACTCCTGTTTTCTTCTTCTGGGAACTTATCTATGTGGAAAAGGAGCAATAAAATTAGCCGACTTTATGTGAAACTTCTTTGAATAAGTTAACACCTCTGCTATTATCAAGTAGAATTTGACACAAAGAATTGATGAACATTAAGCAAACATGTTCACACATCTGCAAAGCCAAAGTTTCAACACTAACGAAGTAAAACAAAACCAGCATGTGTAACAATAACCAAGCAGTAAATACTTCTCAAAAGAAAACTAGTACCCAAAATGTGATGTGCCACAATAAAAAATGATATTGAAAGATGAGAATAACCTGCGAAAATAAGTCAGCCAGGCAGGTCAAGAGATTGTCCTCAGCATCAGCTTTATTATTTGCATAATGTTGAAGCAATTGTTCACGAAAGGGAGCACAAAAATAAAGAGCCTGCACAAGAGAAAGGTTCATATAACAAACGATTAATTGAGAACACTGGACTTTGAATCGAACTTCTTCTAATGCAAAACAGACCTAAGATCTACAAACATCATTTATGCAGTCCTGTCATAAGCTACCACATCTATAAAAACCTTAAAAATGAAACCTTTTGAAAATAAATCGAATTCACAAGACACATAGAAAATTCCCACTCCACAGAGTTAATCACTAACTAAGCATTTTTTCAATAGAACAACATATCAACCAAATGAGGATTCGAGAGAGAGAAGGAGACCTGCAAAACACTGTTACAGTAACAAGTGTTGCCGAAGTTTTCGAATCCAAAGTATCGTTCTCCTTCCGGGAACTGGTCGCCGAGAGCTTTCTCGAGTTTGGACCCCGCCGCGCCCATCAGCCCTAGACCCCGTAACACCGTGAATTTCGACTCAAAGAATGAATCAATCAATGAGAGAGATGATTCCGTCGGGAGATTTTCAGATTTCGAAAGTGTTGAAAAATTGGCGAAGAAGAAGAAGATCGAAATTGAAATTTCTCTTCCACGCGAATAAATAAATAAATGAAAACTTGTGTTGAGTATTTTTAAATTAACATTAATATATTCTAATTAAATAAATTATCCTCTATGTTTTCTATATTTAGCCATTTTTTATAATAAAAACTATTAATTAAACTCATTTTTTTCCGACATAAAAATATTTTTCAAATTAAATAAGTTTGGCTGTTATGAAATTTATAAAATGAATTGAAATTTTGGAAGAGATTTATTAAAAGCTGCCTAATTTGTCTAAGTCAATTTTCTTTCATGGTATTGTTTCAAGAAACATAATTTCATTTAGCTCAAATTGTTAATTATGCATATATAATATTATAAGAAAATATGTATTGGATAAAGCCTTAATATTGACTCGACGACTAACCTTAATTTATTAGTTTCTCCTTTTTGAAAATCATATTTTTGTCTTCAGGTATTTTGGATTGTAATGTTATGGAATAATAATAAACTTCCTAACCCACAGCTAAATAAAACTAGTTGACAAAAGAACCATATATGAAAAATTAAAACTATAATCCAGTGACAAGAATTTTTAGAGGGGGCAATGTCAATTATTCTTTGGATGTGGTTATTCTGCACAATCAAAATAAATTATTAAGGTGGATATGTGGACAATACACATCATTGAGACAGACAAACCCTAATGTTTTCACGAGCCAAAGCCTAAATTTAACAAAATAAATTACCTAAATCCTTTAACAAATTAAAAAAAAAAAAAAAAAGTAAAACTAAATAGTAAATACCATTTTTTTTATGTGTGGTCAGCAAGTATTCGAGTGAGATCAATTTGTGTGTATGTTTAATTAATTACGCTATAATTTGAATAGGTTAATAATAGATCACTACGATGATCAGTCGATGACGAGGGCTAGAGAAGATTAGTATTACTACTTTCAATCTGCAAATGGTCTCCTCTTCAACTTTGAGAGAGTGTCACGAGAATGTTGTTGTTCATATTGTTTTTCGTTCAAAGTATTTGACATTTTATTTTAATTTTTTTGTCAACCAAAGTATTTGACATTTAAAATTCAATTCAGACGGTTTGATTTTTTGAACATTTCACGTGATATCTTTTGTAATGAATTCAGGGGAGAAGCCAGAGAAACCACACGTCCGTACATGCCTATATATAGTAAGCTCATTAGCCACACGTACCTACTCATCAAAGAAGAAGAAGAAGAAGTGGAACTCAAAAGGTTCCAACAAAATACTAACAAAGCAAACTACATTTTAAGATAACTTTCTAACTTCATGGGTTCGATGGAGGCTTTAGCGATGGCGGGAGTGGATTATCAAGAATGGGGACTTAGTATTGAGGAATGGGAGCTTCAAGAATCTGTAGTTCCGCCCCATTTGATTGCTGATGATTTTGAAGAAGAAGAACAAGAAGAAGAACTTCGAGACAACGATGATGATGATAGAGGCTTAGCGGTTAAACAATCAGTCACTTGTGATTGTGACATTAGAGCTTCGGTTGGGAAATTGATTGAGCAATCTATCTCACATATGATTGTTCACCTCAAACAGCTTAAGTTCTTAACACTTCTTCTTGAGAATTTTTTGTTTAGCCATGTTCTTGATTTTCTTTTGTAATTGTCTTAAGAAGTCTTTTTTTTTTGTGGTGATCAACCGGTTTAAGAGTTTTGTTTTCATAAAAGAGTGAGTTAAATGTAATGTAAGTATTTTATTTGTTCGTCACAAAAAAAATGTATTGTAAGTACTAGCTTGTATTCAGTTTTGTTAAATTATATAGATTCAAGTAAACCTAACGTATGAATCTAAATTGGCATTATTTGTTGTATAAGAAAGCTCAAAATCAATACCAAACAGAACAAAACGAATTTTCGAATCGGAATCTCTTTCAATAATTGTGAAACCCAAAAAGACGGTTCCGGAAAAAAAGAAAAGAAAGATCAAAGCAAACTCGAATTATCAACCATATAAAATTATATACTATGTTATAATTTTACAAAGATATCTTGACTCTTAAAATTGAGTTCTATTTAACATTAATTTGGATTAGGGCCATAATATGTGTGTTATATCATATGCTTTCACGTTTAATTATTACATTTAAGCGCACAAAAGGGAAAAGTCTCGTTTTCACGTTCCACATCATTGAAACGAAAGGATAAAAAAAAAACTTTCGTCTCTTTAAAATTCACGAGAAACTTGACGTTAGTGTTAGTAACTTAGTATGAAGGGTTTCTATTATATATGAACACACCATGACGTTTGCATCAATACGTAATATCTTACGTGTTGATTTTGAAAATCACACAATGAATTTGTTTAAGTGAGGAAAACAAATTCAATAACTCTCTCTTGTAAACTCGGATCAAAGACGCAAAAAGAAGGGTGGATTTTATTGCTTAATTAGAGACAACGCTAAGGTTTAGCTCAAGAACAATTAGGGTTTTAGTGCAAAGTTGCGGATGCCTTGAATAGAGGACAAACCCCTCTATTTATACAAGTTTTAGGCGGTTTAGAAATAAGTTAATCTTCTAATTTGATAAAGACAAATCTTCAATCTTTCCTTTCTTTTCGGGATTCTCCTTAATCTTCTAGGAAAATCTCATTTTTCTTGAATGAGGAAGTCGGTTACTGGCGATCTCTCGTGTCCGAGTTGAGCTCGCCTGGCGATCTCCTTCTTCAGCCCATTAACAGGTTTAGCCGGGATTCCCCGGTTTACATTGAGTTCTCAATTTGATTCGTAATTCGTCCGGTTTAAGCCGGTATTGTCGGAGGTGCTAATTCCTGCACCAACATTACGCATATGAAATTGGTACCATTTTACATTTAAAATCTTGTGTTCCACATCGAATATTAGTTTTCTGATCGGATTTAAATTCACCTAACTCGATAATCAATCTCTACTTCAAGTGAAGATTGAAAAGTTGTAAAAAGAACATAGATCTCTAGCTATGAATGAATCGATAAAAAGAAAACTTGTTTGCCAATGAGTAATAGGCAAAGCAATTTCAACAATTGGGTTGAAGAAATAGATGAAAGATGGTATGTATCATTCAAAGAATGATCAAACGAGATGGTATGTATCATCCAAAGAATGATCAGAGGACTTTTGGACAACCAACCAAAGTCAAGAACTATGATCTTATAATATAATTAACACAAATTTATAAATTTACAGAAAACATTGTATATCAACAAAACTAAAACCAAAATTTAAATTGTCCATTTAAAAATATTTATTTCGTCAAAATTTACAGATTGAATACATAAATGGAAATAGACAAAATGTGCAAGATTTAAAGGTTATAGTCGTATAATGCCTCAACACGAGCCATTTAGTTTAGCAATTAGTTATGATGTTTCATAGAAACAAAACTTAACAGAAACATTTATACAATGTTATTTGATAGTAACTCAATCCGCATTTTGTCTAGTAAAGATAAGTGCACTTTAGTGACATAAGTGACCAAATCAATTTTTTTAAACTTCTCTGCATGCACCACCATATTTCTGAAACCGAGGTATTAATTACACAACAAGTCTTAGTGTTTGTCATATATTTTGTCTTATAAGTTCTTTAAGCCGTTGATCTATTAGTTTTAGGTTCAGTCTTTAAGCTTTTGGTCGTTTTTACTATCCAACAAGACTTAAACCCTATTTACACTTTGTCAAGTATCTTCATCTTTAAACTTCTTTATGATGTTGGTCGTTTTTACCATCCAACAAGTCTTAGTCTTTGTCATATATCTTGTCTTATAAGTTTTGTAGTATGACGTTGGTCTATTAGTTTTAGGTTCAGTCTTTAAGCTTTTGGTCGTTTTTGCCATCCAACAAGACTTCAACTCTCTATACTCTTTGACAAGTATCTTTATCTTAGACTTTTTTATGATGTTGGTCGTTTTTACCATCCAACAAGTCTTAGTCTTTGTCATATATCTTGTCTTATGAGTTCTTTAAGCCGCTGGTCTATTTTTTTTTAGTTTCAGCCTTTATCTTAAGACTTCTTCAAAACTGTTGGTCGTTTTATACCATCTAACAAGACTTAAACCCTCCAATCAAGTATCTTCATCTTTAAACTTCTTTATGATGTTGGTCGTTTTTACCATCCAACAAGTCTTTATAACCATTCCATAGTCTTTGTCATATATCTTATCTTATGAGTTCTTTAAGCCGTTGGTTCTATTAGTTTTAGGTTCAGTCTTTATGCTTTTGGTCGTTTTTACCATCCAACAAGTCTTAGTCTTTGTCTTATGAGCTTTTTAAGCCATTGGTCTATTTGTTTCAGGTTTAGCCTTTATCTTAAGACTTTTTCAAAACTGTTGGTCGTTTTTACCATCCAACAAGTTTTAAACCCTCCAGACTCTTTGTCAGGTATCTTTATCTCAAGACTTCTTCAAGCTGTTGGTCGTTTTTACCATCCAACAATCTTAAAACCCCTCCACAGTACTTTGTTAAGTATTCCTTTATCTTTTTCAGCCGTTGGTAAAATAGATGGAAAACTTATGTTTTCATGAAACTTTTTTTATTGTTAAATTCAAAAATATCTTGTTATGTTAGAATTCATAACATAATTCTTAAGAATTTTGGAATTGTCAACTAAATAAAAAAATTTTAAAAATAACTAATAACTTAAGGATCTAAACTTGCTTTGGACTAAAACTTTCTTTGGACTATTTTATAGAAATAGTTTTTTTTTTTTTTCTTTATGGCCGGTGTTGGAACTTTTGATTTTAAAGGTGTTTTCCCTTTATGTAGCCAACTAGTATGTTTTTTAAGTTACTGACGATGTTAAATACATAATTTGGTCTAATTAAAATCAGAATTTGAAAATCATTGGAAACAAAAGTAAGATTAAACTCTATCTTATTTATGACTTTTTTTTACATCTTATAAATTTATAATTTAAAATAACTAAAAAGGTGAATATAAGCCGAAGGGAACAAGATTCATTTCCGTATGGAAATTTTATATTCTTACAAACAGAAAATCTAAAAGCTATCCATTGTTGTTGTTGAGATAGAACTTTGGCCACATTTTCGTATGGAAGCCCATCTCAAAATCGAACTCAATAATGTAACAAATGGGTCGCTGCCAAAAAAAGAAGACAGATTTGGTATGAAACAAAAATATTGATGAAATCTGAATTTTCTTTTTTGGTAAAGAAATAGTGAAATGTGATAGGTGAGCTTTGGTAGTTGGAACACGTTTACTTCATTCTTACGTACGCATATATAAAGACAATTATATCTAGTTATCTACTGTGGTTGTTGCCTAAGCTCTAAAGCATCTCACAATCGCATAAAGACAATTGTATCTACTATTCTTCCCATATATTCAAAGAATGCAATCTATATGCACCTTTTAAAAAAAGTAATATCAAACCCTAATATACGTGTGGGTGATTTATGTTATCTTTATGTTATTATCTTTATGTCGTTGTGGATGTTGAAATTGGTTATGGTGACTATAAATGGTGAAAGAACAAATTGGATTCAAAGCTTTTCGTTGATTAGCACAAAATCGAACTACATTGAACAAAAAGCTAAGAGATCAAAATATGTTGAAAATGTTATTTGTAATGATTTAAGGTATGTGTAAGTTAATTACATTTTGATTACTAAAATCGAATGATCAGAAAAGTAGTTTTTAATTAACATCATCAAATACTAGAAATGTAACCTCTAGCTCCATATCCATTCTTAATTTTGACATTTAATTTCAAGATTCGACTGTATTGTACGGATGCAACGCATTTCGAAGTGCGATTACTCGAGATTGGCGATCAGAGCTTCCTCGCCAGTTCGTATGGGCATTACTCTTCACTTGTATTTGATGTTAATGGACTTCTTTTATTGTGTCGGATGTGTGTGAAATCGTACACCAACAATATGCCCTCCAGTTTTGCAAACTGCTATGCGATCGGAAACCTAATTATTGCTTAGCTGAAATCATATCTTATCAAATATTTGTATCCCGAAGATCCATATCTTGTCAAACTAACTTCATGTTCTTTTATTTCGTAACGTGTGTCTTCGAAAGTCTATGAAGGTAAATCACTCTATGCTTCACTTGTTCCGTCTCGCTACAAATTGTTTTTATAATTTGATTAGTGCTTAAGTACTAAGATTAAGATGCTTAATTACACGACAACAATAATAGCTTAAACCATTATTGGGCTACATGCTCGGTTCTGAATCCTTATCAACTATATAATTCCTTTGTCGGAGTCGGAGATAACAAAATTCTCAAAATTATTCGCCTTTAGTCCATAACTCAAAACTGCCAGCAAGGCGAGCATGTGGCAGAATTTTATTACATCTTTTTATGTGAGGGAATAACTTTTTTGTTTATTAAAAGTGTTTTTGGGATAAATTTAGTTATCAAGAAACAAAAGATTAATTAACTAAACGTTTCTACAGTAAATAAAATTATTTACTAATCACGTGCCATATCTTTGAACCTTGGTAGGTTGGTACTTGGTAGGTACGTAAAAGACCTAGAATAAGCGACCATATTATTTAATTTCATAAGTTGGACTGTTTGGTTTTAAACCTCGTTTTGCTGATCGGGCCGATTAGCACAATGTTTGTAAACGAATGATATCGTGTTACGATATTAGGATTTGAATACAATACTCTATAAATTTGCGGCTCGAAAGGTCAAACGAAATTCGCCATAAAAAATTTGTTAACTAGAT